TATATATATATTTATATTTATTTATATGTATGTATGTATGTTATCTCTTTGAATCTCTAACTAGATGTACGAATAAGTAAGGTGACTAGTATGCTCATTTAACATATAAGAGAAATGAGTTCATGTAAGGGAATTATGAAACTTGCTAAGTTCATAATTAGGAAGTGGCAAAGCCAGCAGTCAAATTCAGACCTGTTGGATTCTGGATACCGTACTCTCTCTGCAACATTATATTGCTTCCTGTATGTGGACCCTAAGTTTAAGCCTATTCTAGTAACTTTTCCAAAGCACCGAGGCTATGTTATTAAGGAAGTGACTTTGTAGTAATTGTGATCTTTATTCCATATAGAAATAATGATTTATAACATGGAAAAAAAATAATTCCAGGTTAGGTTAGAATGAATCTAGTATGGTGTTGTTTGGTAATTTCTGGTAAAGGTATGGGGAAAAATTTTAATTGGGGCTGTCCTGAAATATTCAGAAGAATAGATGGAAGAAAATGTTGACACATTTGCAATAACGTATTCATTTTGATCTAAGAAACTTTAGACATAGTTCCTTGGACACTGAGATTTTGATACAGGGATATTTTGATAGATCCTAATACTAATAAACAAACTCCCAAACTTTTAGTTTTTGGGTTTTTTAACTAAAAACTACTAAAACAGATAATTTCATTCAACCCCTGAGATTCTTACCTCATTGCCAATCCTGCCCCAGGAGGGGGATCAGGGCTAGGAGCTGAACATCACTTAAAGTTGGTCTGCCCATAAAGGTATAGGTGTCTGGCCCTCAACTCTCTCAGTTTCACAGCCCCAGGTAATTCCCAGGCTTTCTTGGTTGTCTGCTGGTGTCTGTATAGGCCATTCCAGTTCCATTCTGCTAATGATTATTGAGGACAAAATCCTGTCATGACTTCTCCGACTTCAAATTACCTAGCTACCCCCAAGGCGGGCAATTCCTGGAAAATGAGGTCCATCCTCTCATTCTGCTTTTCTCCAAAAGAAACATTGCTTCCCAATATTACCCACCCTCAAATTCTGGTGAACAAAGTCTTTGATCTCATTACACTTTGGTTATAGTTTTGGGAAGGAAGAGACTTAGTGAGAAAGTGAGGACTAAATACTATCTGACTGACAAATCTCAGTGAAACAGGAATCCCATATATAAGAAGTCCCATATACATATATGTGCCATGCTGGTGCTTCTCAGAATGGCATAAATGATTCTAGGTGGAATACCTGTTTTTCTCTGTGAATTCATTTGTTTCTTGTATGTTCTCAAATTTTTTGATATCTCCATGAAAATTAAAGTGGCTGCAGAGTTGGGCTGGTTGGGGATTAGAGCCATATTAATCTCAGCTTCAGATTCCTGAAGAAATCTTCAGTTACATTTTTTAACAACTTCCTCAATACTTGTATTAATATAAATGTATCATTTAATATTATAAAACTAATTTTAAATGATGGCTGTTGGAGGTGAGACTAAATCACAAAAGCTAACCAGTTATAATAAAATTATTTTTAAAATTTATTTGTTATTATAATTAAAATAATTATTAAACTATAACTTTATAGCTCTTTCTGTTAAACTATTAAAACTATTTTATCATAACTATTAAACTATACATAACTATTAAAAATAGGGTTCAAAATAAAAGTTTGTCATAGCCAGAATGGCAGCTAACAGATTGAGTATGGGTCAAAGAGGACTATTTTGCATATTATTGAGTATTTTTAAAAGGTATTTTTACTCTGATCAAGCCATGTGGAATCAATATGACTGCTTCAGGATGCATCCTGTGACAAAGTGGCTGCACCAAAACGCTTGTACCAAAATAGCTGTATCAACGTGGCCACATGATCATGCTTTGCTCTGATCCGAGATATAAAGACTATAAATTTAGACTTAAGAGGTGGCTTCCTCCATCATATTTATCTTCTATTATATACCGTGTTGTTCTCTCCAGCCTTGATGCATGCCATGGTATTTGGAAACGTGACGGCGATCATACAGAGGATGTACTCCAGATGGTCCCTCTATCACACTAGAACTAAGGATCTGAAGGACTTCATCCGTGTCCATCACCTGCCCCAGCAGCTCAAACAGAGGATGCTGGAATATTTTCAAACAACTTGGTCAGTCAACAATGGAATCGATTCAAATGAGGTAACGTTCATTTCTCATATTGGCATTTTCAGGCAGGAAGTACATATTCTAAGGTAAAAGCAAGATACTCTAATGCAGGTTTCAAAAGTGAAGAATACACCTACCAATTTCTTTATCTCTTCATTTTTT